TGCTTGAGATATTACTTTGTGAGATTAAGCGGGTATTAATTTCATAGAGTGATTCATTACACTTTTACCTGTGCAAGTCATGCCAGGCCAATGACGCAGGTAGGTTATAGTGGACTCAATCCTATAAATAAAACACTGGAAGTTAAGGCTAACGTTACGTTAACACAAGGACATACATTTGTACATGTAACACTTTTCTCCAGAAGACTTTGCGTCATTTGTAGAAGCACAATTGATGAAAGAGCTAGCAGGTGGTCGTAACCCATGTAAGCTAAAACCAAATGCTGTACTGATATTTTTTTCTCACACAAGGCCTCAACACCACCAGCTAGTTGGCGAAAGACACTGGGAGATATTTCTGGGACAGGCAATGCTGGAAGTGCTGTTAAATCATTGAAAATACTGCTGCTGGGACTGCATGTGGACTCACTCACCCAACACCAGATGAAAGACTAGATCTCATACAGAGAATGTAAACTATAAAGATGTTTACACATTAATACCAGCTTGTAATTTCGGCATTGCTTCTATTTTAACACACTCAAATAAAGAGCTCAATGTTATTTATTGCACAAAAAAATATGTTCTGGCTGGACAGAGCTAACACCATAGAACTTTGCATGCATCGTCTACCCGTGATGAATTCCAAAGTAAATAGCATGGTGATGACTGTGTCACAATAATTTATTAAAATTAATAAAAAATCTATACAGCCTACAGTATCTTTACTGTATTTTTTCTACATCTGAAATAAATGTTATTCAAATAAATGTTATTAATGTTAAAGTAACAAATGGTGGATCCCTTTAAAAAATGCTAAAAACACGTCATATAAACAGAAATATCATTGATGCTCAAGGATGTAATTATACATGGTTAAAATAAAAAAGAAAAACAGTGGAAAATGATGTACTAGTCATAAAAAATATGTAATCAAAGATTACTTGGAGAGGGCATTGTAGTTATAATTAATAATCATGTGACATTCAGGTGGTACATAAACAGGTAAAGAAACCCTTTAATCCAAAACACACAGAAGAATGGAAATCAGATCTTTCTTTTTTGGCTTAAGATTAGTTGTGAATTTGTTCGAAGTAATATCAGTGGTATTCTTTGGTGGTTCTCTTTATGGTTTGAAACAACAAATAGAGCCTATAGAGACTTGGACTGATGTTGGGATTAGTAATGATAGTTCATCAGTGCTATGCACTCTGCAGACTAAAGCTCATTTCCCTGTGTTCTCAAAGGATGGGAACTTTGTTATTGCAGGTGTTTTCTCTATTCACTCCAAACTGAACACAGTCATTTATAACTACACTTTTAAGCCTGAACCTCTAAGATGCACAGGAAGGTTAGTACTAGGAATGTTGGCATTATTTGAATGTGTACATATTAAATGATCTGTTTTGTTAACAGTTTTGGAGATTTGAAGATAATCATATATATTTTGTTGCACTTTCTTGTTATGTTTAATATTTTCATTGGCTTTTTCATTTCCATTTTATGTAAACATCAGCACTCATACACCTGATTTTGTTCAGTCCAGTAGGTCGGGAGTTACGTTTCTCTCGAGCATTGATATTTGCTATCGAGGAAATAAACAACAACACAGTACTTTTGCCGGGTATCAAACTTGGATATCAGATCTATGACTCATGCTCATCAGTGCCCATGGCTGTGCATGTGGCATTTCAACTAACTAATGGCTGGGACCCTTTCTTTTACAAAGGCAGCAGTTGTTCTCATTCTACTGAGGTGTTGGCTGCTATTGGTGACTCAGAAACCACTCCRTCCATCAGTATGCTGCGCATCATTGGGTTATTTAACATCCCTCTGGTAAGTAGTCTGTACTTGTTAAAATTTAAAATTTTAAAATGTACATTCTGATTTTACTGATAAAGATCTATAAACTGTGTTTTTTTTCCATTCATTTTGTACAGGTGAGCCACTTTGCCACCTGTGCCTGCCTGTCAGATAAGCAGCAGTTTCCAACATTTTTCAGAACAATTCCCAGTGATCAGTTCCAAGCTGATGCTCTGGCCAAGCTGGTGAAACACTTTGGTTGGACTTGGATTGGTGCTGTTCGCTCAGACTCAGATTATGGAAATAATGGCATGGCGTCTTTCCTTGATGTAGCACAAAAAGAGGGCATTTGTGTAGAGTACTCTGAATCTATCCATCGGACTGACCCACGAAACAAGATTCAAAGAGTAGCTGATGTTATCCGCAGGTTTTTAAGTTACTGATTTTTATTGTGTATCTTTTATATACCAAATGAAAATAAACCAAATATTTGGTTATATTAGATTAGTATTAAAGGAGCAGCATGTGAAAAATGACAACTGATATTATTTTATCATTTCAGTTAGAGTGATTTTATCCTGTTTCATAAGGCTTTAAAATAGGTAATCCAAGTATATACACAGAAATTATTATTCACAGGTTTCTATACATTTTTCATCAATGGGCAAAAAAATACATACATATGAATGAAATATGGTATCACTTTTCACTATCTCCCCAGATCAACAGCAGTGGTTGTTGTGGCTTTTTTGTCCTTTGGAGAAATGAAGGTTCTGTTAGAGGAGCTGGCCCGGGAGCCTCCACCACCCCGTCAGTGGATAGGAAGTGAGTCCTGGGTAACTGACCCAAACCTAATGGGCTTTAGTTCCTGTGCAGGAGCCATTGGAGTGGGTATTCAACAGTCTGTCATACCAGGACTGAGAGACTTCCTGCTGGATCTCTCCCCAACTCAAGTAGCTGCCTCTACTTTGCTAACTGATTTTTGGGAGGATGCATTCAAATGCAGCCTAAGAAAAAGTGAGCATGTGATGAAAATAAAAAATATTTAAAAAATGTAACCGTCACCAAACACTTTTTTGAGAAAACATCAGTGACTCATATTAAGTTTTCTGATCGTGTAATAGAACATTTTTTGTCATTTTTTTAAATTGTTGAATCTTTTGTTTTGACCTGCGGCCAATTATGTTTTTATTTTTTGCTGTAATATATTTTGCATTTGAAACATCAGGCTTTAATTCTATCTGTTTTTTAGGTGCTGATCCTGATAAAAAGATGTGTGATGGAACTGAAGATATAAAAACACTTAAAAACCCGTACACTGACACATCGCAGTTAAGGGTTACTAACATGGTGTACAAGGCTGTTTATGCAATAGCYCATGCCATTCACAGTTTAATGTGTCTTGAAATAAGTGAAACCTCACAGTGTAATAGACATACCAACCTGGAGTCTAAGCAGGTCATTTTAACAATTAGTTATTCATTTTCTTTCTTATAAAATCAGTTTTATAAAAATTGTTGATGTTCACTAATGCCCCCCCCCCCCTTCATTCTGTTTATTCTGCAGGTTTTTACTGAACTCAAAAAAGTAAATTTTTCCCAAAATGGTTATCCTGTACTATTTGATGCTAATGGGGATCCTGTGGCTTTTTATGAGCTGGTCAACTGGCAGAAGAGTGAAAGTGGAGTTATTGAGCTKRTAACAGTAGGATAYTATGATGCATCACTGCCAAAAGGCCAGGAGTTGCATATAATCAGGAACATAACTTGGGTGGAAAGTGGCACTCAGGTACAAAGCCCCTTCAAAATATATAAGTTTTTAAAAAAGCTTATTGAATTTCAAGAGCGWTTTTTTACATTTCTTTTGACTGGGTGGTTCTAGGCTCCAGTGTCAGTGTGCTCTGAGAGTTGTCCTCCAGGAACTCRTAAAGTGTTGCAGAAAGGAAAACCCATCTGCTGCTATGATTGTATACCATGTCCTGAAGGAGAGATCAGTAATGCAACAGGTAAAATTAATTGTTTTTCCTGCAGTCYTGCATCAGTATATATTTAAGTGCTCAAAAGCATATTTGATTTTTTTCGTTCTCAGATTCTCCAGATTGCTTCCCATGTTCCAGTGAATTCTGGCCTAATGCAAAAAGAAATTCTTGTTTCCCCAAACCTGTTGAGTTTCTGTCCTTTGATGAAATTCTGGCAATCATCCTGGCTTCATTCTCTGTTTTTGGAGCCTGTCTGTCCATCATAACAGCAGTTATTTTCTTTTATCACAGATCAACTCCAATTGTTAAAGCCAACAACTCTGAGCTGAGCTTCYTGCTGCTCTTCTCTCTGACTCTGTGTTTCTTATGTTCATTAACTTTCATTGGAGCTCCCTCTGARTGGTCCTGCATGCTGAGACACACAGCGTTTGGCATAATTTTTGTTCTCTGTATCTCATGTGTTCTTGGCAAAACTMTAGTGGTTTTAATGGCCTTTAAAGCTACACTTCCAGGTAGTAATGTCATGAAATGGTTTGGACCTCCACAACAAAGAATGACTGTTGTATCTCTTACTTTTATTCAAATTTTAATTTGTATTGTATGGCTGGTTGTCAGCCCTCCCTTTCCAATGAAAAACCTGAGYACATACAAGGAGAAGATCATCCTGGAATGTGCATTAGGCTCTGCTGTTGGCTTCTGGGCTGTGCTCGGCTACATTGGCCTGCTGGCTGTTTTTTGCTTTGTGTTAGCTGTTCTAGCTCGGAAACTACCTGATAATTTTAATGAAGCCAAGCTGATAACCTTCAGCATGCTGATATTCTGTGCAGTGTGGATCACCTTCATCCCAGCATATGTCAGCTCTCCTGGAAAATTTACTGTGGCTGTGGAGATATTTGCCATCCTGGCCTCCAGTTTTGGACTGATACTGTGTATATTTGCTCCAAAGTGTTTCATCATACTATTTCAGCCAGAGAAGAACTCCAAGAAATATTTAATGAACAAAAATCAAATGTAAAATGCTCAAGGTATCCAGTGAAGATGACAAGATGAACATGACAATGACGGCAACTAGGTTACAACCAAAAATGTTCAAATGAAGGAATTCCTAGTAAAATAGTTTTTATAATAGTTACTTTTTTGGTGTTGTAACTGACATTGTTTTTATTTTACAAATGTATTTTAATTTGAATAAAATGATTAAGGTCAAACTGAGAACTGTATTGCATGATTCATTCTAATATTCAAATTTAATGTCTTATAAAATATTTTTTTTCAAACAATGACAAAACCAAGGTGAACAGGCAGTAGATTTTCATGTAGTTGTTTTTACTGCTATGCTCTTAGTAATCATAAAATCATAAAGATTTTGTTGATAAACTATAAAACTGTCATAATTTACTCTAATTGTTTATGATAAATGGACTGAACTTATTTAACGCTTTATCAMGTCCCTCCGAACCAGAGGTTGCGTTAATGTAAAGTTTTTGGTTTCAGGTTTTTTTACACGATGACAGAAACATCTGAAGGCCGTCCATCATTTTGACAGATTTTAATCAACACACCTGATCTCTTAAGTCTGGAAGACTTAATAAATAAGCCAGGTGAGGTGGATAAAATAAAGTCTACAAGGCTTCACAAGATGGCTCTGTGGCATGACACTCACACAGACATTTTCAGCTTTACGCACGGAGTAGGTCTTCATCATTGAGGTGTCTTATTCAATCTAAAATAAATAAATAAAATATTCCCATCYGATCATCATCTCAGATAGACTCCATCCTGAATGCATCTCCAGGAGCTGACAGCACATTGRGCACAGGAGGATTTGGAGCATCTGTGAGGCGCAGCTGAACCAGTGGTGCAGCACGAGTGCATGCTGCAGATTTCCTCCTGCTAAAGACACAGYTTGTGGGATTTGGAAATAAAGTCTTGCTGACTTCTGATCACTTCGACTGGAGAAATGTTTTCTGATTTTAAAACTTTGGCTGAAGTGGTGCTTGTAATTCCAACAGTGTCAGAGCAGAGCATGGGTTTAGTCTTCAGAACCACTGGCACCTGCAGATGTAGACTCACTGAGCGTAATTTGTGATTTTCCTTAGAATATTTTTAATTATTAGACATTTTATTGGATAAATCAAATCTATATTCTTCTTCTGTTTTTATTTAATAATATTTTTAACAGTGGCAGTGGCGCATTGTGATTAACAGCTGACTGTATATCTGCCTTCATGCCTTTCCCTCTTCTCTCATCCTCCTGCAAAGGATGCAGAGACAGAAATAAGGAGGCATTATCTAATGTTGCAAACTGCAAACACTAAATAATGTTTGTAGATTTTTATTTGTTTGTTTTTTTTAACTTTTCGTAAGGTAACTGAGTCAAAAGTGGGACTGTGTGTGTGTGTGTGGGGGGGGGACAGGTTTTTCCTACAATGTAGGGACAATTTTCCCAAAAAACCTGCCTCGTGGGGACCGAAGTGAATTGTGGGGACCAATGCCAGGTCCCCACGGGTCCAAATRCAAATTACAGGTGTTGGGTTAGGTTTAGGACCAAGGTTTAGGTTAGTTTTAGTAGTGCACATTTATTATTACTTWTTCAAGTTAAGCTGTTATTTATTAAGTTATTTAAGTTGTGCTTAGTTAATACAGCAAAGAAAAAAAGAGGTGAATGTACTCAAAAGACATGAATATGTTACATTAATTCAACACATTTGAGTTAGTAGAACTTTTTTAAAATTGAGTTTTAACTACTCATTCTATTTAATTATTTTCAACATTCAGGTTTACAGTGTGAACACCCAGAGCTCAAGTTAGAACTGTGTGAAAGCTTTATTTGTGGAACTGAAATAAGCACCTTATAACTTTGGTACATTATACACTGAACAAAAATATAAACGCAACAGATTTGTTTTTGCTTAAATATTTTGAGTTAAACTCAAAGTGAAATACACAAAATAACCATTTCTCTCAAATATTGTTCACAAATCTGTCTAAATCTGTGATGGTGAGCACTTCTCCTTCGCAAATATAATCCATCCCACTTCACAGGTTTATAAATATGCTGTTTAGAAAGCATGATTATTGCATAGGTATGTCTTAGGCATCTATGAATTTTATCTGACATCTATGCCTGGCATTGTGTTTGCAGCTCTTTTCCTAAACGCACTTCAAATATTTTAACCCATTAATAACTGAACTTCCCTAAGAAGTCAAAAATTTAATGATTGATCATCACTGTTTAAAGAAACAACTATGTGTTCATCTACTATCATCTACACTGCTGTCAGAATATTGACAGTCCAATGATAATCTCTACAAAGTTTACACATTTTAAAACATCTTAAAAAGGAGTGTTTTGAGCACAATGCAGTTTTATGTTAATGGGTTAAATTTTGGAACTCAAAATTGTAATTAATGAGTTTGATGACTTGTGTAAGAAATTTTGTAAATTGATCATTATGTAAAACTATATCTTGTAAATTATTTGCCTAAAATTTCATTTAAAAATTTGGTATGAGACAAACTGAGATATTATTGAGGTATAATATTAACTTGTGTTGAGACTTATTTGAGTACTTGAACTACTCTCAGTTTGCCTTTTGCTGAGAACTCAAATGGTGAGCAATGAGAGACAACTATTTATTTATATCTTTCACTGAGACAAACTGAGATAGTGCTTCCAATGATATCAAATTGAGACAAATTGGAGAGTGACAAAATATGTCTCATTTTTCTCTTAGCTGAGATAAGAAAAAGAGACAGCTTTGAGAGAATTTAGAGTTTAACTTTTACRTTTAGAATTTAACTTACACAGTGCTCACTGTAAGACATATTTCTCAGGAGAGACATTTCAGAAAAATGAGAAAACCACTTTGGTTTTGGTTAGTGCTCATTTATTTCTAGGATCTGTAAACGTGACATAAATGAGATCTTATCTGCGATTCTGTTGATTGTTTAGTCATTATCATTTAAAAACAAAAGTGACAGGTAAAAACTGATCATGACAGATTTTTCTTACCCTGTCAGTCAAAATGACGAACAGCAAAAAAGTCTAGCGCAAGCTCTCCTCCGGACCTCAAAGCACTTTACATTACAGTCATTCACCCATTCACACACACATTCACACACTGATGATGGTAAGCTACATTGTAACCACAGCTGCCCTGGGAAAGACGTGGATACCATACACCAGCGCTACCTGACCCTCTGACCACCATCAGTAGGCAAGGCAGGAGAAGTGTCTTCCCCAAGGACACAACGACTGTGAAGGCTGGAACGGGGGATCAAACTGGTGACTTTCCAGATCCAGAACTACTCCCCTAACCAGCCCACCGCAGCCGCCCTATATTTATTTCAGAAAATAACACATGTTAAGTCAAAGAGGAGAAAAAAATCTTGATTTCTATTCTTTAGTTGAAGATGTTTCAGTTCCCACATGTGGAGTTACAAGCTTCAAACATGCAGATTTTTCTACCTCCAAAGAGTCATTGGGGTCCTGATTATCCCTATTGTTTACAGAGGGATGAATCATACACGCAATGACATTGTAAGAGTTTGACGAACGTTTCTCTTCAAAAAAAAAAAGAAATAAAAGACTTTCTTTACTCCTCGCAAACCAATTTTTCTCTATCAAGTATGAGAACATCATCTTTGAAAGAGTGACTGCTGGCCTRTAGATGAGTGAAAACTGTCTAGTCCTGGCCTGATGATGTTGTTCTTCTGTGTTGGGCCATCCTTTTAAACAATGGCTCCTTTTTTTCTTTGATGTATAACTGGTCACAGTCCTGCTGGCACTTAACAGCATACACGTTACTCTGTACTGGGGGACCGGATCTTTGGGGGCAACCAGTCTTTGCCATAATGTGTTTTGGGGTTTGAAAGCCACCAGTAGGTCATATTTAGAAAATAAATGCCCCAGATTCTCTAAAACTCCTACAATGCATTAAGGATCATCAAGACTTTAGGATCCAGATTTGCTCAGCTCACATGAGAGATGCTTTGGTCATATGCATGAAAAAGGAAATTAAAGAGAAAATAGGCATCTGGCTCAATGCTCCGTTGTAAGGTTTAGAAAACTTCCTGTTTTGTTTTTTTTTGGGTTTTTTTTAGAGAAGAGAAAAGAAAGAAAAAAGGGAAAAAAATAACACATGTGACATGCCACAGGAAAACCAGTAACACATCACTGAAACACAAACTGAGAAAAAAAGGAAAAACTAATGTTAAATACTGTAAATATTTAACATTAGTTAAATATTAGTTAAATTAGTTAAATATTAGTTAAATTAGTAAAATATACTTAAATACTGTAAGTAAATACTGATTTTCGTTTTTTGTCAAAATATAGTTGAAGTTATGAAGAATCCACCCCATGCTTTAAATAGCAGTTTTAAAATGGTAAACTTTGTGTTTGAATTCAGCCTGTTTCCAGAGTAAAAAGAGTCAACCGGCAATTTGCGTTTCCGAGAGGAGAGCCACACAGCTGATTAATAATGCAGGCTCTGTTTGGCTGTTCTCAGGCTGTTAACATGCCTTTATTGGTTTCGGCCAGTGAGCTTCAGGTAATAAAGAAACGCATGGCTACTTAAACTAGTTATTAAGGCTGTTTTGTTCTGTTTTTTAACAAAATGGATCAAGAAGGATCGAGAACACAGCTCCAGAACCGAGCCACAGCTCTAAGATACAGCACATCACAGTGGCAGAAACTCTTTCACCAAGGCAGACACCGATGGAGTTTCAGAACATTTGTTACAGAAGTGGGGGGTGAAGGATCGACAGACACTAACCTACAGTTTAAATCCTGTAACTCGACACACCTTCAGCTTTAGAGCAGCAGTCCAGTTGCTTCATCTTTTTTTTTCATTTTCCATGTCCTGGTAGTCCACAAAAAGTAACGTCTTTCTTCCTGTATCCAAACTCGTCACTTTGTTGCAGAAAAATATCCTTACCGGAGCATCCAGCCAGAGGAAAGTTCAGATATAAACACTGAACAAAACAAGTGTAGGGGTCACCTCGAGTGAAGAAACAATATTTACTGCCTCGAAGCAGGCCTCGGACAGGCCTGACGAGAAG